TCTTCATTCGATGCTCATGCGAACTCTCGTAATCCGTCGTTAATTGTTGCGGTTGATTTAAATGCTGCTGACGTAAATTAGACTGACGATGGATGACATCGCCAAGTTTATCATCAAATTCTTGAAATTCTTCGCTAAAATAGGATTGTTATTGAAGTTATATGAGATTTTTTTACTTATTGTTTATAGAGATATTTCATTTCAGATAATTGTCCGATATTGATAATTGAAACCTCGGATAATGCTTATCCGATTGTTGATAGTGATCTGATTTCATATGTTGTAAGCTATCATATTCACGCATCAGCATTATTGATTTCTGATCAAGAGATGTGAAAATTTTATCGCTGAATCGTAAATTTTTCTCCTCATTATTTATGGGAAAATACAATAGATCAGTAATCTTCCAGGATGCACGGCTTATTTTTCGTGGATATTGCGATATCGAAATTGGCAATAAATTTTCTGACTGCAATTTAGTGCTACTTATATTACTTCCACTTCTAGCATATCAATTATGCTATACCGTGTTAGACATACGATAAAAAATTTTTCATAATATTGAAATTTTGAAATTCCCAATAAAGCAAAATACTGTCAAATTTGCATAATGTTTCTATTATATCTTTACTGACTGATTATTTTTCATAAAAAAACAAAGTAATCTCTTACGATTTGTTTGGTATTGTTTCGTATATGCACTTCAGAAGGTTTATTTTTTCTTGCATTTGTTTCACATATCCTAGCTAAAAATCTACATACTGGAATTTTAATGGAATTTTAATCTATGCCAAATTCATCTCTAATTTGAATATTTTTTCTTTCAAAATCTGATCAACGAATGTTAACTGTTATATAAATCGCTTAAAATCCTCATTTACTTCATTCATTAATCTGATCAACGAGATGTTATATTATTTACTGAATCCATGCTGCAGAAATTTCTCCGACAGTATGAGAAATATTAGTTATACGTACATTGTGATAAAATTAAAATTTTGACTAAATTAAAAATTGTAAAGTTTCCGAAAGAACCTGTTTTGTTTTTCACATTTATTATCGTATCATCACGTTGTGTGTTCAATTTTAACAACATTTGTTCAGTTTGCTTTAGTGCATTTTCGATAATTTGATTGATATATTGGTAAGCATCTGATGCACATTGTAATATTGGTAATTCACTCATCTGAAAAAGATTTCTGGATCGATAATTAGGAAGCGAAATATTAAAGTGTATTTTTGATATCAATTCATTCCTCTAACTTTTTGTCTAAAATTACCTTCAGGAGAAGAACGAGTTTTATCAAATACTTTTTTCTTTTTTAAATCAAATACACGTTTACTATTATCTTAAGTTGTCAATCGTACAATTTTAATTTTATTAAATGGAGAAAATGTAGGAGAAAAAAGTTTGGTAGTGCAATCATTTTCACTTAAAAAGTAAAATTTTTATGTAGAAATTATCTTTCACACCAATATGGAATAAACTTCGATACTTAGCAATTAAACTTGGTAAAAGAATGAGGCTGTAATCATATGTAAAGCGTTTAAATTGCAAGTTTTTATTTTCAATTTTAAATATGCAAAATATGCGCTCTTGAAATTTTCCGAAATTTATTAAAATTTCACTACGACAAAATACACTGACGGCGGATGGTCTATTAGAAATGGTTAAAAGTAATTAAGCTAAAAATTGATTCTACAGAGTAACCTCATTGAGCTAAATAATAGATGAGCGAAATTTAGATGCCTAAATTTTTAATAGCAATTTATTAAATTCGATTTGAAGGTTTTTCGTCAATTGGATCTTCAATTCTCATTTAAAATTCAATTCAGCAATGACGCAAAAGATAGGAAATTTTGGAAATTCCAAAAATTTATTATTTTTGCACCTATATTGCAATATTTCAGGTTTTGATGTTCAGAACTTCTGGACATATTTAGGGATTTGTTTGATCACAAGTTGGATCATAAATTAACTTGGAAACCGATTATATAAATTGAAATTTGTAGGTGTAGAAAAGTAAAATTTCAGAAATATTAACCAGACGAAGAAATATTAAGGAAAATGAAGAGCAGGATAAGAAAAGAGCAGAAACACGAACTGCAAAAAGTCAGAAAAGCGAAAGTAAACTTCATTTGGTTAATTTGTTATATTATATATTATCATCAATTATAAGAATTAATTAGTTTCGAAACCATTAATCATAATCACATTAAATTCGAAATTATAAATCACTGTTCAGAATGATATCACTTATCTGTTGTTTACATTTTGTCGAGATTATTTTATTTATGCGAGATGTGCTTTAGTAATAGAGGAAAATCTGAAGACTACTTTTCACCTAACTTCCTACAGGCAACATATGATTAATTCTATTTAATTAAACAATTCAATTGGAACATCAAATTTCTTTCAGCAATGTTGATTGCTTTTTAACAGTAAAATGAATAATTCAAATTTGGAAAATACCGTATGTTTTAAAAGAACTGCAAATGTCTGTAATTAATTAAATATTTTCTATAATGTATTGTTTCCAGACAAAAAGCCAATTTCTGTACGATCCAAGAAATTTCGACCAAATTTGGCTTTACCAAAGTCTATTTATTTCATGAATGAAGTTTTCCTAACATATATATTGTTTTTTTTTTTTTTTTTACTGTCATAGGAAAAATAAAATTCATAGCAATAATTGATTGTTAGAGTTATCTCTTGTTAACTTACAACTTTTAAGTTAGCTTTAAAAATGCTGATTATAAATTAAATTTGTTATACATTATTATTTAAGTTTAAATTTTTATTATATGTAATGTTTGGAAATTTACGGCTATTTTAGAGTGGCTTCTGTAATTCCATTATCGGCTCGTATTACTAATACAAAGGCAAGTTTATACAGTAAATTATAAAAGAAAAAATCGATAAATATGAGAGGCATAAATTTTTGTTCTTTTTATAATTACATCATTGTAACTAAGAGAGAATTCTTCTCATTACAGTATTTCATATACTTCGTTTAAATGATGATTTTAGTGAAAACTGAACTTGATTGTTTCAATTTCTGAAACATATATCTCATTAATGAAAAATTGTAAAGCTATTAATTTAAATGCTTGCTCTTTTAAGGTTCAACGATCATATCCGCTTACTTTACTCGGAATAACTAATGCCGAAACGATCGAAGTAATTTTTCCTAATTGGTTCAATCAAGTATTCGTGGGAACTAGAAATAATGTTGCTTATCAACCATATGATCTGAATATGCCATCATCTTTGTTAAAGTTAGTTTATGATGTTAATAAGTATTGCTAGCTAATGCCAAAAAAAAAAAACTGCAGAGCATAGATATTAAGAAAATTCTGAAGTAAGCAGAAAGAACGTTGAATTCTATTGATTAGCAAAAATCAAATGATCAAAAAAAAAAAATTAATCGAAAAGTATGAAAAGGAATAGTTAAAATCGCAACCAGAAGAGTAATTTATTGGATACTCAAAAGATTACTTCTTTTTGCATTTGCTATTTACATAACATTTTTTCATTAGCCTATTATTTATTGTAATTTATAAATTAACTTCAATTGAATGATGAAAACTTCAAAGTTTTACTTAAATACAGTTTTAGACGATCAATTGCACATTATCAGGCGGATTCACCGATCACTGAACATGGGAAAATTTGTGCTGCGTTAATTGGACGTGGTATTTTGCTTGCCAATTATCAACCTAAAATTGTAAGTTTATCTCATATATTTTATCATTTTGATTTATATTAACTTTAATTTGATGCAGAGAGAGAGAGAGAGAATTGCAACATTCTAAAAATTAATTTGAAATGCAAAAAAAAAAGTTGCTGATAATTTTGAAAAATAATGTTTTGCAGATTTTTACATCACCCGAATTGAGATGCATTGAAACAGCTCGTTCAATTCAACGTTCGCTGCATATTGATAATTGGAGTTTATGTGTGGAACCATCATTAGCTGAGTATGCAGGATTTCGAGATAATGCCGAGAAATATTGGTTTACGATCAGAGAGGTATATTTATTTCTCGTAAATTACTTTCCTGATTACATTTCATCAATAACTTAACAAGCAAAATCTATTTTCTTTCTTATGCAATATTTACTTTGCTACAAGAAACTATCGATATCGAAAGTATCTCACATGTTAGACAAGTTTATTTTTGTGCTTAATCAACAAACAAATATACCATTGATTTCTATTTTTAGTTGCAACAAGCAGGTATTTTCTCAATCAATAAAGCCTATGTACCGCTATTAAGACTTGAGAAACTATCAAGAAATGAGACACCGCAAGAGTTCATATACAGATTACAACGATTTTACGAGCATATTATTGTAAATTTTGATGACAGGTAATTATTTCATCATTCTTTTTTTTTTTTTTGTTCAAATTTATCATTATGCAATCAATGGTATAATTCTAAAAAAAAAATGATAAATATTCGCAGAGAAGGCAGGATTTTAACTGTTTTTGTGATTAATAAAAAGTATGAAATCGGTCAAATTAATACACCAATAAAATATAATTTCAATTTATGAGCTGAAAAAATGACATCTCCCATTTCTCATTAAATCATTTTATGCAAACCATAAATTTCCATCATTTTTCCGATACAGTATACCATTCATTCTGCCTTATTTTTGTTCTCAATTCCACAATTAATGTTCAATTAGGTAAATATGAAATTTCTACGGGAGAATTCCCATAAAATTTTGATAGAAATCTAAATGAAATTAATATTGATTTTTCATTAGATCTGAATAACATGTTGAAATATATTGAAATATAAAAGTAAACGATGCCCAAAAACATACATTAATTGAATTCTGTTCGTTTTGCATCATTTATTATCGCATCCTCAAACTGAAAAAAAAAAAATGAAAAAAGAGACGGATGTGTTAGTATGATGTGAAAAATGAATTAATTTGATTCTTTGTTCAAATTTCATTTCTCAAATAATACAAATGATAATTGTTAAGCATTATTTATTTTGTGTGGAATCATTCATTTATTTCAAACAAAAAAAAAAAAAAAATGAAATAAGAAGTAGAAAGTAGAAATTTTTTAAAATTTCTATAAACTGCTCATTTTAAGTTTTCTAATCGAGAACTGACCCAAGTTAAATTACATCATCAATTTTGATTTGAATTTAAATGCGTGTTCCGAATTTTAATTGTTAATAATTTCCATCAATGATAATAATATAAGTTGTGCAAATTAATCCAAATTGTCCAATTTGTTCAATAATACTTTCATTTTAATTTCATTTTAATACCAGATTTTAAGAGAGTAAACTCATAAAATCATATCTTTTTTTTTTCCCTATTTAACAGGAATTTTTAATGTATTGAGTAGTGCGACAATTAATTCATTTCTTCAGATGTATTGTAATTGTCAGCAATATTACTGGAATTTTTGTGCTCAATGATGGGATCGCTACCGCACCATGGCATCTGCAAGAGCCTCATGCTTATATGAATAGCTGTCATCTATGTGCTATTGAAGTTACACCTGATGGAAAAGTCTGAATGCGATATTTTTGCTTCCTAGAATTTTAAAAAAAAAAAACAATTTTTTTAAAAAATGTTCTTATAAAGAGAATGAATCAGAAATATTTTACTTAATTACCTGTAATATTCTTTAACTGAATAAATTTAAAAACTACTCCCGCAAAAATAATCGTCGAAAGAATTTCGAACTTGCAAAAAAATTTTTAACTCAAGAAAAAAACAGAAAAATTCAAGAATTACTCGAAAGTTTGAATGAAACTTAATCATTGTCCTCCATTCTACCAAGAAATATAGCAAATTCTTCCATTTATAATTAATTATTGAATTGAAATTTCAGATCGAATCCATCAGCAATCCTATTTTACCACTAACGCGAACGTTATTTGACGCTAAAAATACTTAACATTCCAAATCAAGCAGCCAATTGTAACTTTTTTGTTCAACATTATATTCATCATTGGTGGCAAAAATTTTATTACAAATTATTGTCAACAAAAAAAAAGCTTAGCATTATAATTACATCAATCATTTATATTTATGAATAGAAAACCATAAAGAAGAAGAACATTTAACGTATGTCACGTATCACGTAACAGGTTTTCATGGATTCAAATGGTGATCAATGAATCACTTAATTCTAATTTATGTAATTTTTACAGCAAATAAAGAGCGAAGTATCTTAAAATGATGCTTTACATCTTTAATTAGGGATTTGTTCTGAGGAAAAATTTCTTATTCATAGAAAAATTTCTCTCTGAAATAAGAACAATTATCATTCTTATCATTTTTGCAATGCCGTTTTGAAGGAAAGTAATTTTTGAGAAACATTTCCTATTTATTTCAAGAATATTGGTTAGTTCCTTCTTTAATACCTGATGAATATTTCATCTTCTTTTCCTGGTCCACTAAAATATATTGAATAAGATATCAATTTGTTTATATTTTAATATAGAAGCTTATTAATGAAGTTAAAAAAAAAATTTTGAAAAATTTTGTTATATTTTTGAATGTTGCGACGTTATACTTTATTTCAAATTTATTGATAAATTAAAAAAATTTCCGCTTTCATTCATGAAAAAAATTTTTTTTGTTCGTTTAAAATGTCGCGCTGAAATTCAACGGCACCTTTAAACAATTATCATTCTTATCATTTTTGCAATGCAATTTTAAATTAAATGCCGTCCTTCCACACATCTCTTCTTAAAATCCATTAATTTACGAATTTTTTTATGCAATTTAGTATAATTATTCATGTCTTCTCAATGCATTGTTTGTACATGACAGCTTAAATGACCATACAAAATATGCCATTTTTTTTCTTATATTTTCTCCATTTTCTCTTTCCTTAAAAAAATTTTGTTAAGTTCGAAAAATTTTAATTTCATTTTGAACCGTATATTACTTGCAAATCTTTATTTATGGTTAATTACCCACTAAAATTCCCATGAATGACATAAGAATGATAAATATGCAAATAAGTTTAGGAGACATTACACTAATTTCACTTTCTATCATAAAATCGTAAAATTAACATAAAATCTTTGTCAGTACATCATTGAAATTGCTACTTTTTTAATTCTTCTCGATTGTGTGAACCGACACTTTAAAGGATTTAGATATTTCAGATTTCATTTCAATTTTGCAAGCTTTTTATGGTTAGCCCACAACAATCATTTAATTTGCATTTTGAAAAGAGTATAAAGGAGATTATAGAATGCAGACATCGGATAGAAGTAATTTATCATTTAATAGTCAAATGTCTTCTATCTTTCTCCATCATTTCCACTTTATCATTCTTATCGTAAGACGAAATGAGATAAATATATGGAATATTTATCGTATTTTGTTACCCTTTATTGATCAGTGATTAACAAATCCAAAGAAATCATACATGATCCAATCAACAGTTCCACATTAAATGTTTACTTTAAAATTATTTTAGGAGTAGATTTTTTTTTTGGATTCAATATTCAGAGACTTTCTTTCCCGATGAACGAATTCATCAATCATCACAAACTATGTTGAAAAAAAAAACAGTTTAGGATCCGGATTTCTACAACAAGAAATTATGCTTTCTTCTCATAGCAAACTATTTGAAAAAATAAAATGAGCTAATTAGAATGTATTGATTAGCAGACAAAGAGAAGAATAACTGAAATAAAATGAAATTAAGTTTCATTAAACTAATATTCAAGAATTACCAATACTTCTTTCTCGACACCATATGTTTGCATAGAGTTTAAAATTCCCAAAAAAAATACATTTGCTGAATAAAGGGAATTAAATTGGAATTTGGATAGATGCACGTTCTACATTTGGTACAATTACAATTTATCACATGTAATAAATTTTAATAACTAATAAATCATAATTGAAAAACGAAAATTTTTGAAATATTAGATGATTCAATTGAAAAAGTTTATTCTGAGTGTCAATTTTAATAGTAGTGTGTGTGGAGATATTGCAGTGCCATTCAAATTACTTAAAGATGCTATTTTAAAAGATTCGAGAATTATTCGGTAATATGAAATATCAAAAACACTTGCTGTCTATACATATTCATTTGCTAATCATTTACATCATTTAAAGGTTGTGAGAACATTTATGAATTTTTTAATGATAAATTATCTTACTTCGTATTATGCTGATAGGTGAATGTTATAATTGTTAAATAATGAAAAAAATTCATTGCATGTAAAATTTTGATTCAAAATATATGCAAAGAGCAAAAAATGTTCAAAGATTTAAAATGCTTATAAATAAATCAAGGCCATTTATATGTCAGTAAATTCAAAATTTCACAAGGATTCACAATTTTAACTTTCTAGCTTATAACAGCAAATCTTGCGGTAAAAAAAAAATTCTTTTGAAGTTTTTGAATATCTTTGAAATATTAAATAGCTTCGTTGAGATTTCATGTTTGTTAACAGATAACTTGAGAGAGGAAAATTTCAAAAGCATTTCATTAAAATTGTTGCTGTTACAAAGAACTCCATTAATATCATAAAACTTTAAAAAAAAATTAATGAATTTTTTAAAATCTAAAAAAAAAAAAGACAATACTTTTACAATCATAATTAATATTTGTTTCAAATGTTCTTCTCTTTTCATCACTAATCTTAGCATCATTTTGATGAGAATTTAAAATTCATACTTTTTAAATGTAATTTTTTGAAAAAGCTATAGAAAATATTTTTATGAATTCAATATGCAAACAATATTTGCATTTATAATTACCGCATGTATAAAATTGTATCATTCAGGATATTTTATTTCCACATTCTAATCGTTCAATGTCGTTTGAGAGAAATGAATGTTTCATTTAATCTCCGTTTGATATAGAAGAATGAAATATTATCGTATTAGATAAACTAATCCCTGATCTCACTAAATAACAAGCTCCTACATCATCACTAATCTTAAGCCTCCTCATTTTAATGAGAAAATAAATCTCTTCCAGAGTTGCAAAATTGGTTCCAAAATGACAAATAATTATACATCAAAATATTTCAACATTTAAAATTTGCATTTTAACTAATTTATTGAAATTTTTATAAATGATATAGAAATTAATCATAAAGCTGATGCAAATTTGAGTGAATAATGAAAAAAAGTGGAAAAATTATGATGAATTTTCTCAATAGTTGTAAAATATGGTTTCTTCATTGACAAATGAATTTTTCTTTGCAATATGTAAATGGTAAATATCATTAAATTAATTGTAATGATTTGAAGTGGAATTTTTATTCTGATTTTTTCATTGAAAATTTGTTAATTGTTCAGTACAATATCATTAATTCAGCTAATCATAATCATTTAATCAAATTTGCGTTTTTTTTGTGAAACAAAAATTTATGATTATAATTTATAGCTATATAAGAATTATGATTAATTTTTAATGTATGAGTTTTTAGTTAGCTATAATGTATAAGATTATAATTTTTCTTTTATTTAATGTGAGAAAGAGAATGAAGATGAAATTTCAGATATTTCATTTTACACTTTAATATTTTTGCATATTTTCAGGACTACTAATAGAGCTAGCTATTAGCTTCAATTCCAAAATAAAGCCGAAATATGATAATTGAAGGCGGATACAGAAGTGACAGCAGGCATGTCGTCAATCTTCTTCGTCATCCAGTTCAGTAATTTTGCCCCCATTGAAATTGTTGGAAAGAAAGGTCCCTCTCTTCCTTTTCTCTTTCCCAAAATATGACACCCTTCCTTTCTTTCATATATGAGCGGGTCATCTTTTTCTTCATCTTTCAATAATTTATTCCTTTTTCCTTCCTCATTCCATATTACCGATAAGAGGATGAGAAAAAGAAAGAGGAAAAAGGAAAGAGTAAGAAATCATCTTAAAAAGAATTTAAGTTATATTTAATTAAATGCAGTGCATTATTTATTCATAAAATATTTTTTGAAATTTTTTGGAAAAAATTAGAAAATGGATGATAAATACGGAAAGGTAAATATGAATACGTGGAAGAACGAGAAGGAGGACAAGAAAAGGAAGGAAGGAAGGAAGGAAGGAATAGGCTATATAAGTGGGATTCATTTTCTATAACTTTAAAGTGTGTAACAATTAGGTAATCTTTCTAAGATATATTCCATAAACCATTCAATTGCCTTATTTCAACTGACCTCTCATTGAAAATCCGTATGTTTGCAAATGATTTCGTCCTACTTTATCTGTGCATTACCATTAAAATGATCCATTGAACAATTAACACCAAAGTAATCTCGTGCCTCCTTCCACCTATATCGTTTAATTTGACCTAATATTCAAATTGTGCTTATTTCAAATTTTAAATTCAGCATATTTTCTCAGCTGCAAAACTTCTAATCCTATCATTCTCATTCAATTCATTGTTACATTATTGTAGCAACTATTCCTATTATTAGCATTCTCATTTGACTTATTTAATTAAGATTGTCTATTATATTGAATATATTTGTAATTAAATAATGTAATGCAAGCAACAGTTTTTAGTCTTTCTTGTGAAATGTTTGAAAAT